ATGAGATAAAGTCTGCTTTGATTTCATGGTGGGGCGGGGATGATAATAAAGAACTAAATGATGTCTGGTATTGTTGAGTGCTCTGAAGGGACCAAAGCCAGGGTTGAGTGACCAGTGAGTTATCTCAGATTAGGTGTCAGGGAAGGTGGGGCTGGGGGGGAGCAGCTGGACAGAGACCTGAGTGAAGCGAGGTAGTGGGTTGTGCAGCTAGTGGGAGAAGAGCATTCCAGGCAGAGAACAGCACGTGCAAAGGCCCTGAGGTGGGAGTGTGCTTGGGGGTTTGAGCAGCATAGCTGGTCTGGAATCAGTACTTCCTGAATGATGGCAGAATTGAAGTCTCTCTCAGCTTGTGGACAGTCCACGCTTGCACACTTTCCTGATTGGGGGTGGGGTGGTACTTACACAAGAGGCAGGAAACCCACCAGACTCCATGCATGTCCAGTCCCTGCCATGGGCCCCACTCTTCAGAGGAAGTTGGGGAAGGAGAGAGCCTCAGATTTCTGATCTGTAAAATGAAGTAACAGTGCCAGTCATGCACTAAAGTTCATTTAGGGTTCAAGGAACAGAAAACGTCAGATGCAAACGAGCCACTGGGTAAGGGATAGCTATGGGCAAGGAGACTGAAGCCCAGAGAGGTTAATGAATGTGCCTGTGTCACACAGCTCAGCATTCAATCCCAGGGCCCTTTGCCTCCAATATCCATGCTCCGTTCTCTCTGCCCTGCAGCTGGGGCTCACTGCACCTGAAATCCAAACCATTCACCGACCAGACAGTAGTTCCGTGTTGAAGGTATAATTACCCATTTTGCAGATGAGGAGCCCCAGTGAGCTAGAGGCAGCGACAAGATCCAGTGTTGGCCCCAGAGGGTGGCGGGCTTTGTCACAGAGGGCAGAGTGGTGGTATCCCACCACTGGGGCCCCTGGCCTGGTGCTGTGCTTCCAGCAGAGAGAGGGGAGGTGGCAGCCCGCCCCGTGAGTTTGGGCTGGGCCCTAGGAGTCCTCGGTCCTCCTAACCCTGGGTAATGGCACTGACAAGGACAGTGACAGTGGCACCTCGGGGAGCCTTGGCCAGCCTGGCGCAGGGGGAGCCGTGCCAGCGCTTGTCAGCTGCCGTAAATGAGATTTCCCGCTGAGCCTCACGTCCCCGCTCCTGGGAGGCCAGGACACGACTGCACCTCCCCTACCTGCTCCCCGACCCCACCGATGTCCCCACAACGTCCCTGCTGGGACAGGAGCCCAAGGTTGCACTCGCCGGGCCTCTTGCCCTGGGCAGAGCGTGTCTGTGTCCACCAGGTCCTGGGGTTTCGTGGGAGCCATGGGTGGCACTCACCTTGCCAGGCAGGTGGAGAAAGTGAGATTCAGGGAGGGCCTGCAACCCACCCGGGGTCTCCAAGCTGGCCAGCCCCGTGTCTTCCCTGCCAATGCCCGCTCCCCTGTTCCCCGCCTCGTCCCCCTCAGCAGGGCACTCAGGCACAGCTCGCCTGTCTCTCACCCAGCCGGGAGCTGGAGGCTGAGGAGGGGGCCCTGTCAGGGCAGTCGAGGTTGGCAGATCAGGATTACCCCAGGTCCCAAGCCTGACCCACCACCCCCCGAACACTCCCTTCCCCAGTCCTGGCCTCAGTTTCCCCTCTGAGAAGGGCTGAGCAAGAGCTCCTTGTCCTTCCAGCTCTGAAGCTCTAGGATTCTGAGTCCGTCCAGGGGCCCAGAACCTTGTACCTGGAGGAGGAGGGCACAGAAACCAACTGGGTCAACCGGGACTTCTGTGGGGGGAGCGTGCTGAGGCATGGAGAGGGGGTGGCAGTGGCCCAGGGTCACTCAGACATTCTGTGGCTGTGCCGGCTCCGGACTGAGACCCCACCTCGGCTCTGCCCCTCAGATCTGTCAGGTGTCGCTGACTCCCCTCCCTCCTCTCCTTCCAAGCGTGTCCCCACGAGGGGGGACATCGTGTACATGCAGCCGGCTGGACTGGGGGACCTCCCCAAGCCTCCTTGATAGCACGCTGCCCCCCAACTTTGCTGTGTCCCTTCTCTCTGTGGTGGAAGGAGAGAGGGGCCTTGGACAGGTGCTGGTGCGCATCCTGGGCCTGTCCCCTGCTCTGGCCGGAGGTCACTCATTCGGGCCACACCTGTGTGAGCAGGGGCAGGTACAGTGGGGGTGGGGAGAGGACGGGAGGGTCCCTCAGGCCAGGCCAGCCAGGAGCATACCTCTTTGCTGGACACAGCGCCACCCGGGCCGCCCCTGCATGGCCACCGTGTAGAAAAGGCCCCTGCCTCCCAGGGCTGCGTCCTGGTCCTGCCCCTTCCCCTCCCCCTGGGCTGGTCACAGGCTGCGTTTGCTGTCATCTCCCTGGCCCTGGGGTGGGTGGGCAGGGCCGGCAGCAGGCGCCGTGTCCCCCCCATCTGTCATCTCGCTGTGCTTCCCGCGATCGGTTCCTCCATCTCAGACGTGCTCTCCCTGTTCTCTCTAACCCTCTGTCTCTCCCTGCTTGGCCAGCTCCTTACTTCTGCTTTGTCGTCCTTCTCAGTGCTCGCCTCCTCCCTGCGGGCTCCCTCACCTCCTCCTTTTCTCTCCCCACCCGCCCAGAGGTGTGGGGGTAGGGCCCTACTCCTCCCACTAGTGTGTGTGCTGGGGCATCATTGTCGCGGGAGCAGGGGACGGCCCTGACCCTGGGGACCCTCGGCCCCAGGCCCGAGAGAACTGCAGTGCCCACTCCTGCCCCCCCCGCCCCCACCCCGCTGCCTTGAGTGTGTGCTCAGCGGGCAGGGGACCAAGTGCTTGCGGTACCCCTCCCTCGCTGCCTCAGGCCTCGGTGGGGCATGAGCAGGCAGCCCAGGGAAGGGGCCGGGGGTGGGAGCCTCCTCCCCTCTGTCTGAGTCAGGGGCAGGGCAGCCAGCCCCGGTACTCCTGGAGCAGGAGTGGGAGACGGCCGGGGCTCGGGCAGCTTGAGGGCTGAGGAGGGCAGAGCTCAGAGAGGCTGGGGTGGGGCGCGGCAGGGCCTCTGCCCACCCTGGACTGTTGGGGAAGGGAAGATGGGGCAGGACTAGCCTGGGCCCCTTCTCCCACTCCCCTCCCTCACCTCAGCCTTTTTGTATCCCCTCAATGTGGCCTGGGATTTCCCGAGGCTCCAGCCTGGGGCCTCCAGCCCGCTCAGCTTGCCCCACACCCGGGCCCGCCCGCGGGGGTGCTGGTTTGAGCAACTCAGATCTGAGGAGGCTAAAGTTGCACACGTGTACATATACATACACATACATGTGGAATGCACGTGCTTAAACATGTTGACCCATAGGTGGGTGTTACTCGTTCCTGATCTGCCCCCACGCTCATCCCTCCTGCCCCTGCACACACCAGCATGCCTGTGTCCACTCTAGAGAGCTCCTGTAGCCAGCTGCGCGGGCACACGTCCTGTGTACACAGGCATATGTGTGCACACACGCCTGCCTGCGCATCTGTCTGCTTGTACACGTGAGCGCTGCCTGCACCGGCGGCGCTCTGAGCCAGCGCGCACCTGTGTGTGCACCTGCATACAAATGCGGTCCCCAGACACCCAGCCCAGGAGCTGCAGATGGAAGGTCCTCTGGCGAGCTTGGCGCCTCAGCCGCCTCCAGGACAAGCTCGCTGCCTGTAGGGGCGGGAACTGAGGCCCCCAGATGGGTGGGACTGGCCCAGGGGCCCCTAGGAGCCCGCAGCCAGCCGGACGGGAGCCCAGGTCCTGGACTCTGGCACTCAGACTGCGTGGCGCAGCCAAGGACAGAAATGCTGTCTGCCACCCAGGCGCCCCTTCCTGCTCGGTGGCCTGGTGCGCCCTCCTACACCCCTGTCCGCCCCCTCAGTCCAAGCTGGCCCCGCAGGGATGGGGAGGTGGGAGGCCATCTCACCAGGAGGTCCCCATTGTCACAGCCTCTGACGCCACGTCACCCTTTTATCCGAGGGGTCATCCGGACGGCCTGTTCACCTGCCACCTCAACAAAAACTGCCTGCCTGGACTTCTCTGGGGACTTTTCCCCTCTCGCTCTCCATTCCTCTGTTCCAGCCCCCTGGGGCTCAGGGCTGTAAATTGGTTTTGCTTTAACAGCAAAGGTTTATATATTTTTTTCAGAGTGCTCTCTTTCCTGGAGTTCCCCAGGAGGAGGAGCAGGACGCAGAGGTGGTTCTTGTCAACAGTCTCTGCCTTTCTTCATCCAAACATGGGTTTCTCTGGCCTAATCGTCACAACCCTGGTCACCGCCCGGGTGGAGGGAGGGAGCACTGGGCTCTTCCCGCTGTCCAGAGAGCAGGGGGCAGGAGCTGGAGCCGGATCTGGCCGAGGGGCTGTGTCCGGCCTGCTGGGCGACCAGGGCAAGTCTCCCCTCGTCAGGGGCTCTGTTTTCCCCCTTAGAAAATGAGTGTTTGTGGGCTGTGAGCCCTGTGCCGCCAGCGCTGCCCCTCTGCATCTCAGGGGAGCACGGCTCACCTTCCTTCTTCCCCATCAGATGGCCAGGCGGGGACCTGGTGCCCACTTTATAGATGTGGAAGCAGACTCGGGGGTGTGTGCTCTATCCGGCTCATCAGACCAGGTGGACAGGCTCCAGGCCTCCTGACTCCTGGTGCCTCAGGAATCTTGATCTGGCCCAGGCTGTGCTGTGTGACTGGGGGCAAGTCCCTGCCTCTCTCTGGGCCCCTGACTCTCCATCCACGGAGGGGATGTCAGGCTTCGGAAGCCACTATTCGGAGGCCTCTGGCTTCTTCGCCTGCCTGAGCACCACCCCCTAACCCCCAGGATCAGGGCCTCTAATGGAAAGCAATTGGGGAAGTGATAGTGGGGGTGTGTCTGCCTTCCCAGACTCTGCTTGTCTCTTTCCCCTGGCTCTGCTTCTGCCTGTAGGATGAGCTCTCCCTGTGCCCTCCCACTGCGGGAGACCCCAGCCTCTGCATCCCTCTGCTTGGGGGCCCACAGCCTCACTGCTCCGCTCCCCCTCCCCCATGGAAGCTGAGACAAGGGAATTATTTTTGGAACAAGAGCAGTTACACAACAAATGAATTATTTATCTTGGGGCGTGGAGGAGAGGCGGCCTTTTGCTGGGCGTCTTAATTCTTTATCTGGACGGGAGGGTGCCCGCTCGGGTACGTGGCCATGTGTGTACAAGCCCATTTGTCGTACACCTGTCTGTGTCTGTGTGCCGTGGAGTTCGGGCTCGTGTAGGGGCATGTGGGTCTTTGTGCGGGCAGGTGGACCAGTGTGGACACGAGTGTGCTGGGGCATGAGTGTGAGGCTGTCTGTGACCTCACCTGTTACTCTCTGGGCTCCCTTCTCTGCCCACCGTCCTCAGACTCCGTCCCCCTCCCCCTCCCTCCTCCTTTCTTCAGTCTCCCTCCTTCCAGGCCCCCACCCCCTCCTCCCCCTCTTGCCCCCCATCGTCCTCCCTTCTTTTATGTAACAGGGACTCTAGAGTGCTCCTGGCACAGGGGACCGCCCCGTGGGTGGAGAAGGGGCTGGGGGCCCGTGCTGGAGCTTCGAGGGGCCACTCTGAGCCTTTGCACTGATCTGTCACCCCCTCTTGGTGCTGCCTTTCAGGAACAAGGTGACAGATGGGTCTCTTCCTTCCCACTCTCGTCTCTTGCGCTCCCTCTCGCAGCTCTGCTCTCCAGCCTCTCGCGGGAATCTTCTGAAGTTCTGGACTCAGGACCCGAGGAGGAAGAGGAGGAGGAGGGAGAGGAAGTTAGGCCCTGAGAACCTGTGCACCTTCCCGTCAGGAGAGCAGCAGCGCAGGGACGCAGGCTGTGGGGCCCGCCGTCCCCCTGGCCCAGGCCTGGCCGCAGTGCCCGGCGCCTGCCAGTAGCGCCCTGCCAGCCTCACTGGGGGCCCCCGGGCTGGGGGTCGCCCCCAAGATGGTGGCGGCCCCAGGAAGGACTGTGCTGCCAGCCCCAGCCTCTGGCTGCTAGGCCCTCCGCACCCCGGCCCCTCACGCCCAGCCCGGCCCGTGAGGGGGCCGCGGTGGCCAGCGCCATGCTGCGCCTGGGGCTGTGCGCGGCCGCGCTGCTGTGTGTGTGCCGGCCGGGCGCCGTGCGCGCCGACTGCTGGCTCATCGAGGGCGACAAGGGGTACGTGTGGCTGGCCATCTGCAGCCAGAACCAGCCGCCCTACGAGACCATCCCGCAGCATATCAACAGCACCGTGCACGACCTGCGCCTCAATGAGAACAAGCTCAAGGCCGTGCTCTACTCCTCGCTCAACCGCTTCGGGAACCTCACCGACCTCAACCTCACCAAGAACGAGATCTCCTACATCGAGGACGGCGCCTTCCTGGGCCAGTCGAGCCTGCAGGTGCTGCAGCTGGGCTACAACAAGCTCAGCAACCTGACGGAGGGCATGCTGCGCGGCATGGGGCGCCTTCAGTTCCTCTTCGTGCAGCACAACCTCATCGAGCTGGTGACGCCCGCCGCCTTCTCCGAGTGCCCCAGCCTCATCAGCATCGACCTGTCCTCCAACCGCCTCAGCCGCCTCGACGGCGCCACCTTCGCCAGCCTGGCCAGCCTCATGGTGTGCGAGCTGGCGGGCAACCCCTTCAACTGCGAGTGCGACCTCTTCGGTTTCCTCGCCTGGCTCGTCGTCTTCAACAACGTCACCAAGAACTATGACCGCCTGCAGTGCGAGTCGCCGCGGGAGTTCGCCGGCTACCCGCTGCTCGTGCCGAGGCCCTACCACAGCCTCAACGCCATCACCGTGCTCCAGGCCAAGTGTCGCAACGGCTCGCTGCCCGCGCGGCCCGCCAGCCACCCGACGCCCTACTCCACCGACGCCCAGAGGGAGCCCGACGAGAACTCGGGCTTCAACCCCGACGAGATCCTGTCGGTGGAGCCGCCGGCCTCGTCCACCACGGATGCCTCGGCGGGGCCCGCCATCAAGCTGCACCACGTCACCTTCACCTCGGCCACCCTGGTGGTCATCATCCCGCACCCCTACAGCAAGATGTACGTCCTGGTCCAGTACAACAACAGCTACTTCTCCGACGTCATGACGCTCAAGAACAAGAAGGAGATTGTCACGCTCGACAAGCTGCGGGCGCACACCGAGTACACCTTCTGTGTCACCTCCCTGCGCAACAGCCGCCGCTTCAACCACACCTGCCTGACCTTCACCACGCGGGACCCGGTCCCCGGCGATCTGGCGCCCAGCACGTCCACCACCACCCACTACATCATGACCATCCTGGGCTGCCTCTTCGGCATGGTCATCGTGCTGGGAGCCGTCTACTACTGCCTGCGCAAGCGGCGCATGCAGGAGGAGAAGCAGAAGTCCGTCAAGGTCAAGAAGACCATCCTGGAGCTGCGCTACGGGGCCGACGTGGATGCTGGCTCCGTTGTCCACGCCGCCCAGAAGCTGGGCGAGCCCCCCGTGCTGCCCGTGTCCCGAATGTCCTCCATCCCCTCCATGATCGGGGAGAAGCTGCCCACCTCCAAGGGGCTGGAGGCTGGGCTGGACACGCCCAAGGTGGCCACCAAGGGCAACTATATTGAGGTGCGCACGGGCGCGGGAGGGGACGGCCTGGCCCGGCCTGAGGACGACCTCCCGGACCTGGAGAACGGCCAGGGCTCAGCCGCTGAGATCTCCACCATCGCCAAGGAGGTGGACAAGGTCAACCAGATCATTAACAATTGCATCGATGCCCTCAAGCTGGACTCGGCCTCCTTCCTTGGGGGTGGCAGCGGTGGCGGGGACCCTGAGCTGGCCTTCGAGTGCCAGTCCCTCCCCGCGGCCGCCGCAGCCTCCTCGGCTGCTGCCCCTGGGGCGCTGGAGCGGCCCAGCTTCCTCTCACCCCCTTACAAGGAGAGCTCCCACCACCCGCTCCAGCGCCAGCTCAGTGCCGATGCCGCTGTGGCCCGCAAGACCTGCAGCGTCTCGTCCAGCGGCTCCATCAAGAGCGCCAAGGTCTTCAGCCTGGACGTGCCTGACCACCCGGCCACCGCGGGGCTGGCCAAGGGCGACTCCAAATACATCGAGAAGGGCAGCCCTCTCAACAGCCCGCTGGACCGGCTCCCGCTGGTGCCCGCGGGCGGCAGCGGGGGCGGCGGGGGTGGCGTGCACCACTTGGAGGTGAAGCCGGCCTACCATTGCAGCGAGCACCGGCACAGCTTCCCGGCCCTGTACTACGAGGAGGGCGCCGACAGCCTGAGCCAGCGCGTGTCCTTCCTCAAGCCGCTGACCCGCTCCAAGCGGGACTCCACCTACTCGCAGCTCTCGCCCAGACACTACTACTCGGGGTACTCCTCCAGCCCGGAGTACTCCTCCGAGAGCACGCACAAGATCTGGGAGCGCTTCCGGCCCTACAAGAAGCACGCCCGGGAGGAGGTGTACATGGCCGCGGGCCACGCCCTGCGCAAGAAGGTCCAGTTCGCCAAGGACGAGGATCTGCACGACATCCTCGATTACTGGAAGGGGGTCTCGGCCCAGCAGAAGCTGTGACCCTCTCCTCCCCGGTGAGGCTGGAGGGGGCGGGCCGGGGGAGGGCACATGGGGAAGGGCCCAGGGGGCCGGGCGGGCGCGCTGGGGGCCGAGGCCGAGGAGTGGACGCACACGCACACCCGCACGCACGCACCCACGCACACACCTGACCACCACCTGACTGTGAACAGCTACCACCCGACAATAACGGACAGGAAAACAGAGACACGTTCTCCTTAAAGTTTACACACTGATACCGAAACCAGTTGTCTTTACTGTGCTGCCCAGGGACTCTGCTGGGGGGCGGGGCTCGGGCGGGGGCAGGGAGGAAGCCAACGGAGGGTGTGGGGTCTGGGGCTCTGGGACGAGGGGCAGGTTTGGGGGCAAAGGAGCCTAGGGCAAGAGATGGACTGAAGCCCCCTGGGGGCAAGGAGAGGGTCCCCCCAGCTTGGGGACAGGTCACTGGGAGATGAAGCACCAGGTGGACACTGGCATCCTTTCCTTCCCTTATGAATGGGGAAACTAAGGCCCAGAGACAGGAAGTGACGACCCCAGGGTCATGGGGCAGGTTACGATCAGTCTCCCAACTTCCCAGCCCAGTGCCATCCCCCGCGCAGTGGCTCCCCAGGGGCCCTCCACCCTCGGTCCACCTACCGCGGGCTTCCAGAGCCGTGGTCTCTTGGGGCTGAGGCACTTGATGCAGGTGGGTGCTTTTCCCTTCCAGAAAGCCCCATGGCCACGCCCCCAAGCGGGGAGCTGTGATTTGTCGTGTGGGGCCTTCGCCCCCGTGCCAGCACCCACGAGAGGCGGGGGTCCTACTGACAGGAAAGGAGCCGAGGCGTGGGGACATTCCACCAGCCCCCTTCAAGTGTCTTCCAAGTAGCCTGGGAGCTGTGACGGGGTCTGAGGAGAGCGGCTGGGCCAGCTCCCACCGCGTCTCAGGTGCAGGCCCCATACCTCGGCCCCCAGCCTCCTGGGCCTCCTGGATCCCTGCTCCTCCCAGAAGGGCGGCAGTGAACTGTGATGCCCGGGGGCAGCAGAGAGGCAGGGTGTGATGGGGGCCTTCCTGCCTGTGCCCCTACATCCTGGCCTCCTGCCTGCCTGACCCCCCTCGTGGGCTCCCGGGGCGGCTTCTTAGCCTGCCCAGAGGAAGGAGGGCTTCCCCCCAACCCCTCTTGGCTACCCATCCTGCCCCACCCCCTGGCCTGAGGGGCTCCCATGTTTCCATGGAAACGGCCACTCCCCCTTGCTGACCCCCACCCATCATCGAACAAAGCACAAACAGTGAGCACCTCCCCCTCCCTGGCCAGCCTCTGTTGCCATGGCAACCCAGAGCCTGGCAGTTGGGACCGTTGGGCCCCTGGGGGTTCCCTCTCAGTGGGGCGGTGGAGGGCGGCGAGGGTGGGCAGGGCCAGAGGCGAGCTCTTGGGGGCAGATCTGGGGTCCTGAGACTGTGGGTCTTGAACACTGTTGGGGTGCCGAGGGGCTGGAGTGGGTCATCTCTTCACCTTCATTTTGGGGGAGCAGTAGGGGGCAGGGACAATGAAAGCTTTGCCCACCTGTCGATGTGACCCTTGGCTCCCTACCCACCTCAGGATGGGGAGGCGCCCACTTAGGTCTCCCCACGCCCTGCCAGAGACCCCCAGCCTCTGGTCTGTCACCCAGGTGGCTTTCTTGAGATTTGGGGAGTGTGGCAGAGATTGGGGTGAGGGTGGGCACTGGGGTGGGACCAAGACCTGTACTGTGTGGGGGGCTCTGACCAGGAAAGCTAGTGCCATCCCTGGGTGGGGTGCTCCAACGACCTTCCTTGGGGGGGAGGATTTGGGGAGGACGGTGGAGGGCAAGGGGCCTTAGGGCTCAACGGAAGGCCTCTCTCACACCCACTGGGGTACGGACCAAACCCAGGCTCACTTTGGGGTGACATTTGCAAAGAAAGGACTGTTCTCCTGGGGACGGGGTGGGGGGGAGGGGGCCAGCATGGATATGCAGAGCAGACCTCCCCCCAACCCCCAAAACCTGCCCCCCAGCCCCTCCTCACACCGGATTGGCAAAACTGAGCAAAGCGAGCAGGCGGGGAAGCCAGCGGTGTGAGAGAGCAGACTCCCTGTTATATTTGCATGACGATTTTACTGTATTTTTCTGAGCAAACATCTGTCGTGTATGTGCCAGTTTGTCCAGACTCCCCTGCCCCCCTCCCCCTTTCCCACATTCCCTCTGTTGTGATCTGACAAGCAGCTCTTGACATCCGGGGAGGGGCCAGCTCTGCAAAAGACCCAAAACAGGTGCCACCCAAACGCCCCCCACCCCACCCCCGCCTCCTGTCTTTCTGGACTTTGAGCCCACAGGTGTCGCCTCCCCTCCTCCCTCTTGGGTCCCCACTCCCATCCCATCCTGGCCCTTCCCCTCCTCTCTGCCAGGGAAGGGAAGCCCCAGGGAGGGGAGCGTGGGGTGACCTCTCCTCTGTCCCAGTTGCACCCATTTTGCAGATAGAGAAGTCAGGGCCCCCGAGGAGGGAGCCCTGATGATTTGGTGATCAGGCGGGGCAGAGGATCAGTCACACTGCTGAGGACAGGAGGCCAAGAGCTGGGGGCTTCGGGGGCGGGTTTCTGGGGAGGCTTGGGGCCCGGAGGGAGGAGCCCATGGGAGGAACCGGGGTCAGGGGGTGGGGGCCCCCAAAGTGGGCCTGGCCTCCCGGGAGGTGGAGCTGCCCACAGGGAGGGCTCCCGACAGCATTCCTGGTAGAAGATGGCCAGAAAAACCTCAGACCTCCTTCAGTGGCCCTTAAGGGCAGGTCCCCATCTTTGCCGCGAGGGTCCTCCCTCTCCAGGAGGGAAACCAACCTTCACCACCTGGGTCACACTGATGATCTTTGAGACAGAACTGGATCTACCACTGAGGCCCCCTGGCCAGGCCAGACCCCCAGCCTCGCAGGCCGGGCCCCTCCCTCACTCTAGAGAAGAGGCTCCTGCCCTGGAGCCCACCCTGGAGGCTTTCCCGAATCTGCATCCTGGGTCCCGTTCAGGAGAATTCTACCCCAAGCAGGGGCAAAATAGTCACAAAGACAAACGCTCATTTCTGTTAAGGCCCGGCCCTTTGTTTAAAACAGTGATAAGAATGGTGGACCCGGCCCGTGGCCTAGGCAGGCGGGGAGGGCAGGCGGCCAGGGGAGAAGGGAAGGGAGGCTACTTGAGGGGGGACGGGGTGGGGTGCTGGTGGAGTGGGGGGCAAGTGGGCTGGACATGTGGGTGTCACACCCTGGACCTCCTGGGGGAGGCCCCTGCCTGGGGTCACGCCTGGGCTTGCTGTCCCTATCAGAGGGTCCAGGGGACATTTCTGGGAGGTGGCACCGCTAGGCCCACTCTCTCCTCGGGCACAGTGAGCGCTGCTAACCCTCTGCTGGGTCTAATGGCCTTCCAGAAGCGAAAAGCAGAGGTCTGGCAGGAAGAAAGCTTCGTCTGGTGTGGACACCTCCTCAGGGGCCCCGGGCTTGCTTCTCCCCTCGGCAGGTGGAAGGCCCCTCGCCTCTGCACCCTCCTAGGAGACAGTGCCGGAGATCTGTGGAGGTGCCAGTGTCCGGGCCGGGGAACTGGCTCTCTGCAGAGTGGTGGGAGGGCAAGACCCACTGGGGGAGAGTAGGCCAGGACAGCCCCAGAGAGGCAGCAAGAGTCTGGGCTTGGCTGAGGGTCTCCAAGGGTCTGTGATGTTCTGAACTGGAAGTTGCTCGCCCCCTCCTGGAAATTTAACAGAGGGGGAAACAGAAGCCCGGGAAAGGGAAGGAAAAAAATCTTGTAGGTTCTCCAAACCAGTAAGGACAGAGTAAGGCCGGAAAGGGAGCCAGGCGTGGGGGACAAGAGTGACAGATCCCAGCTTATATGGGGCTTACATGCAGTAAAGGGGCAGCCACAGAATGTTCCCCAGTGATGGACGCTGTGCAGAGAATTTAAATAAATAGGTTGATGGAGTGGTGAGGGGGTGGGGCTGGGCGCCCCTCAGAGGAGGAGGTGACCAGCATCCCAGCTCTGAAGCATGTGAGCTACAGGACTAGCCCGCAGGCCGCGTGAGATTGAGACCGGGGGGAGAGTGGGCTTAGGAGTGGCTGGAGGTCCCCAAGTACCTCCACGGGTGCCCCCACAGCTCTGCCCCCGTCCTCCGAGGGAACTTATCATTCGGCAGCATCCCACCGTATTCCTGGCAGAGAGGGACCCTCTTCCAGGGTGCTGAGGGGTGGGCAAGGCAGAGGAGGCCCCCAGGGAGCCTGACTCCTGCAGGGCTTACCGGGCAGGGCTGCAGCTTGTCCCCGAGGCCAGGAGGAAGGTTGGGGTGCCCCGTCCCAGTGCTCTTCTAGTCTCTGCCAAGACTTCTGCTCCATAGCCACCTCAGTCCCAGGAGCTGCTATGCTCCTTGCCCCTCCCGACTCTGGATCCTCCCCACTTGAAGACAGAACCAGTATTTACAGTCCTCGCCTCTCCTGCCTGCCTCCCACCCAGTTCCCCACTGAAGGTCCCTCACGGCTGCTGAGAGGAACGGGGAGGAGGGGAGCTGAATGGGGTGGGTGGGAGGCTCTGGGCAGCCTCTCCTTCCCCTTCCCCTCGCCAAACAAGCACAGGGCTGGGCAGGGGCCAAGGGTCCATCTTCTCCCCCGCCACCCCCCAACAAGGAGCCGCCAGCCCCACGGCCCTGCCCTTGGCACCTGGTTTGGCTCCTGCAGAGCCGGGCTTCCAGCCCCCGGCTATGAACCTGTGAACCTTAGCTGTGTGTGGACCCTTCCTCCCTCGGGGGGCCTGAGCCCTCTCCTCTTCTTCTTTCTCGGGGGGTAACCTCATTTATTTTCTCTTCCCTCTCCCTGCCTCTTCCTCCTCCCACTTTCCTGTTTTAAACTGAATGGCACGAAATTGTTTTCCTCAACTCGGAGATTCCTGTATGGAGAGAATCAATTTCTATATTTGCAATAAATTTCTTATTTAAAACAACAGGGCCAAGGTCTGTGTTGAATGTCGACCCTTGCTCAAGTTGGGGTCCCAGCGTTCCAGTTCCTGGGGCCCAGTCCCCCTTCTCACCAGAGCCTCACACGCAGGGTTAAGGGATGGGGCACATGGATGGGCAGTCACCCGTGGTCACGGAGAGAAGAAGTGTCTGCCAGACGGAGGGTGGGCCAGCAGGACACAGAGGGTCACTGTCCCCCCACCCCACAAGCCTGGCAGGCTGGGGGCCTGACGGCTCTCCTCCTGACAACCTGGAAACACCTCTGCCAACAGCCCTCCCTAGAGATGGAGGGGCCTTTGGCCATGGCTAATTCTCAGCTGGTCCCCAGGGATTATGCCCCCCAGGCAGGGGGGGAACCCCGTTTCTCACAGACCCACCTCTAATTGCTTTCCGCCCTCGGCAAGTAGGGATGGTGTGGGACCCACTGGGTCTCCTCCTGGCCGTTGTCAGGCCGTCTTCCAGGCTGCCTGCTGCTCCCCGGGTCTGCGGCCCTTTCTTCCACAGCTACGAACCCCTGCTGCTCCGCCTCAGGAGGCAAGAAATGCACCTTGTCTCTCTTGTCAGGCATGGAGCGCAGGTCTGCACCTAGTAACCTCAGGCTGAATTGCCAAACCTTTGCTCAGCTGGAGCCTAGAGCCCCCTCCAGCCCCACCTCCTTGCATCCCCCATAGACGATTGTTCTCCAAGTGGGGCGCGCCCCACCTCGGGGAAGTCCTGGATTCAGCCTGGATGGCTCCGACACGGAGACGTGCCCCCGGGAGTGATGGCACAGGGTGGCGCTGGGCAGCTTCACCCCTGGGTCAGTGGTCCCTGTGGCCTTGGTGCACTGTGGCCCCTGGGTCTGTCCTTCTAATGGGCCTGCCTTGTGGGCGGTTTTGGGTAGAGCCTTCTCGCTGGCTGAGGCTTCCATGGACTGGAGATCTCAGCTGGGATTGGGGTCTGGGCCCTACAGGCAGGAGCGCAGTAACGGGCAAGACCCCACTCTTACCCCTCCTGTGTCATGCCCTCTAAATGGGGACTCTCTCAAACCAGCGCCCGTGGGACCAAGGCACGGTGACGTGGTTCTTCTGACTGGTCCAGAAAGTCTGCTGCCTGCCACGTCCTCCCCAGCCCGACCCTGTCAGCCCAGGTCCGCGTTCTCCTCCAGACTCACGGACACTCCTCCCTCGGGGGAGGGCTCCCGCCTTGCTGGGCGCTCTGCGGGGCTTGATTCCAAGGTGTCCACAGTTCCAAGGCTGTTCTGTGACCCCTCATGGCCGCTGGCCAGGGACCCTCCTCTCCCATGTAGTCGCCTAGCTCGATTCCCCTCCCGCGGGCTCCCGGCTTGCCTTAGCAACAGCAAAGCCTCTTCCTCCACAGATGCCCTCAGCCGAGCCCTTGTGCCCGAAAGGGCACTGGGGACATGACTGGGTCTCAGCTGGTTCTCAGAGGCACGTCCCTGAAGGCACGGTCCTGGGTACCCCGGCCCCTGGCTGCGACCCCCAGCCCCCTGCCATGCGCAGGCCCACCTCTTCCTGTCTCTGCCTCGGGTGGTCAAGGTTTCTGTGGGACCCACAGGCCTTTTCCTCCAGGTCATGGCCAGACCCCTGCGCTGTGTCGTGCCCTGTAAGTGGGGGGCTGCCGTGTCCCCTGGTGTCCCCCCCACTGGTCTGCGGCCCTTTCCTCCACAGCTATGAACCCCTGCTGCTCTTCCTCAAGGAGCAAGAAATGCACCTTGTCTCTCTTGTCAGGCATG